CTGTTCATGGAAGAAAATGTGGTTGGTATTACACTGGCACTTGCTAGGGAAGATGTCAGGATTGTCTGGTACCTATTGTTCAATTCTTCTCTGGCATACTTTGTGAATCTGACCAACTTCCTGGTCACTAAACATACCAGTGCTTTGACTCTCCAGGTATGCAAATGAGATTTTTACTACCATTGTTTGGTGGGAATGTTGTATCGTGTGATTGCATGCTGCTACGATATGATTCCTTGTGTTACTGGTTCGTGAACTTGTTTTGTTTCTTGACGAAGATTCTTTCATGTGTAGTTTGGTTAAATACCCCATTTTCTCTTTCTGAGAACCAATCCTTGAGATCTGAACCTACAGCATCTAAACATAGATTATGAGGCTGTATTTTTTACCATGCCCCTTCATGCATGCATGTGTTTTAACTTACCTGAGCTGCAAGCAAAGTGGGTGTCTGATTTGCAGTTATGTTAAGTAAATAATAGTTTGGGACAGTATTAAAATTATTTTCATCTACCGATGATTAGAAAACTTACATAGCTTGTTAGATTTGAGATTGAACATTGTTGGAGGTGCAAGCCTACTATAGTAGACGTATAGGTGCTCTTGTGATAGTTATAAATGCATGGATAATATTGAATCAATAAGTTTGCATTTAGGAAATCTCTTGTTGTACGTTATTTATAATCTCACTGCAACCACACCAATTTAATTCTTGCATGTTTACTAATGTATCGGTTGGTCAAGATTGAAAACAAATGTTTTAACGGGTAAGAGTAGAATATTTGCACTCCATTAATCCTTTTCATTTAGCAGTTGACAAAGTTGTTTCTGTGCATAATATCTAAATTTGGAGCTTCGTTGTTTGATATTTTATTTAGAATATGCAATTTAGCTCGAGACCTTGAGTTGGTCTTATTGTTGGACTATTCATTGGGTCCCATACTCAACTCATCCTGAAGTCATTCTTGAGATGATGTTGATGAAAATGATCTGAATGAGGCATTTACCTGTTTGAATTTCAATTTTATCAAGTCACCTATAGCCAGTCTCACTAGAGTCCAACCAAACTCCCCCCCCCCCCCCCCCCCCCCCCCCCCCCCCCCCCGTCTTTAACAATCCCCTACTACTCGTCCTTTTCATTTCTCATCTCTAATAGAAGTTCATAAGAGAGGCTGAGAGAGAGATATTACGGAATAGAGGCAGTATACAAACTACAAAGATGCTTGGCTGAATTTCCTAGTGATCTTTTGTAGCTTTTATTATGCTCTTGAAAATGAGAGAGGTAACTTGTGTTGCCATTCTTCTTATTACTGTCACATAGTAGTTGAATTAGGTAATAATTTATTCTAAATTCTAACTTAAATGTTATATACAAGTGCATTTTACAAATCTACTTGTGTGAATTCTGGATCATTGCAGCTGTGGTCTGTTCATGTTATTTGTGAATCTTTCCCTTTTTCTTCCATTTAGGCTCTTCTTTTGTTTTAAATCATGTTGTTGGCAAATAATGGGTTATTTCATCATTAGATGAAATGAAGGCGTTAACCTTGACCCTAAAGTCAATTCCTTTCTGTTTTGTAAGTGGATGTATATGAGGCTCCTTTGGTAGATATAGTTATTGGAGCTTGGAAGTGGGTGGAGGAGCGAAAAAAATATTTTATGGCATATTACAAGTTACTGATCTTGATTTGCTCACGGAATGGATATATGGCTCATGAGAAAATGTTTGGTGATCACATTACAATTTTGTATTGTGGTGAATATCTATTGTCGTGTTTGTCTGCTGTTTGCATCCATGTAAACCAGTATAACGTTGGCCGATCATTCATTGCCTCGTTGGTGAATGTTGTGTTTGGATGTCACTTATTCTGCACTTATATTCTGTGTTGGAAGTAGAAAGCTTTTCTAACCTCTAAAATACCTTGTCATCCATAAAACATCTCCTTTTAAAATGTATGAATGTCTTTAGTTAGCTTAGCTTCAGTATCTCATAACTTCATAAGCTTCTGTTGTGTTAATCCACGGTTATGTTTCTAGTTTGGTTTTTTTAATCCTTCAAGGCGGGTATTTGCAGTTTTGCGCTTAAAATCAATCTCCAGCCTTTTAATCAATTAACCCTAAGCCTCCAATATGAATGATTTTGACTGTTTATGTCTACGTTTATTGTACCATTACAGTTCAATAATAAAATTTTATTTATTATGCCAGGTCCTTGGAAATGCAAAGGGAGCAGTTGCTGTTGTAGTCTCAATTTTGATCTTTAAAAACCCTGTCTCAATTACCGGGATGCTTGGTTACTCCCTTACTGTCCTTGGGGTCATTCTTTATAGTGAAGCAAAGAAAAGAAGCAAATGAACGAGCTGAGATAAATGATAGGACATAGTTTTGCGTTTATTATTCCTACCTCCGGGGAACATAATTGACATCACGAAGCAAAGGGTTGACAATACACTTGAAATTGGAGCCAAAGGTTCAGCTTTTGTATTTCAGATTCTCCCCTGTAAGTCTATGGGGATGGGTTTTTGCTTGTAATATCAACACAACAGATGAGTTAGTCAACTAAATATGTAGGGGTTAAAAAGAAAAAGGAAATTTAAAGGCAATAAGCAACTGCTGTTTCTTTATTCTTGCTTATATTGGGTTCTGAGGGGGGGAAGATTTTGTATTCTTTTAGCAAAAAGTTGTAGAATTGCATTCTCTATACAGTCTGTCCTTGACAGTTCAAATTGAGTAATTAATGAAATACATTCATCGGTTAAATTTTCTTAAAAGTTGCTGGCATATCTGCTAGTAAGGTGTGATTCTATCAAGAATATACTCATTGTACAAGTTTCTTTATCCAGATCTCCAGGTTTCGTCTGTCCTTGACAGTTCAAATTGAGTAATTAATGAAATACATTCATCGGTTAAATTTTCTTAAAAGTTGCTGGCATATCTGCTAGTAAGGTGTGATTCTATCAAGAATATACTCATTGTACAAGTTTCTTTATCCAGATCTCCAGGTTTCGTATGTCTGATCATCAGGATATTTGTCTGCCTGCCTTTTCACTTGTGTTTTGGTCCATGATTATTGGCACTTCCATCCCTTGTTTTGGTTCAGATGTAAATTCCATGCAATAACGAAGGACACACTATTTTAATCAAGGCAAGAAACAATTTGCTGCTTCACAAGTTTTCAACAAGAAAGCTGACAGTTTATATTCAATCTAATCAATTATCATCCAGGTATTCCGACTGTTATTCTGCATGCGAACTTTGGAAGGTTCCGCGACAGTGGGTTGCTCCGGCTCAATGGTTAGCGATGAAAGCTCGTCGTGATATCCTTTTTTGGTCCTTTTAGTTTGTTGTTTGTTTTGTTTATCTGTCCCTTCGTTGTTAGCTCTTGTCCAAAAAAAAAATAAAAATAAAAATCATCCAGGTAGGAAATGTTTCGATTTTATAAATAAACGGAGAAGATAGTTTACGTTCTAAGTAGAGCTATCAAAAGTTGACCCAACCCGAAATACCGACTCAAATCCGGTTATTAACCGACCCATTTGAACAATAAAAAATGGTGGCCCAAACCCGACCTGAAACCAACCCTAGACCCGAGTTGACCCGGGTATGTGACACCCGAAGCCGAACATGAACTGACCTGGAGATGACCCGACCCGAATGTAACCCGTAAATTATTGACCTGAACCGAACTCGACTTGAACCGAAATTGACCTAAACTCGTTTTAACCCGTCAAACTCGAATTTAACCCGACTTGTTACTAATCTAACCTAGATTCAACTCGACCCGAATTTAACCCAACCTGCTATAAACTCGACCCGAAATCATCTCGATTTGTTATTGACCTGACCCGAAACCTCCGAAATTTCTCAAAAAGCGTGGATATTAGTCTTTAATTTTAGAAATTTTTTGATTTTTTTTTTTTCACCCGGAAATAAATATTGCTGAAATGTTTACCATGGTTCCTAATTCCTTCCGGGAGTCTAATTGGTTGGGTAGAACCATCCAATTAACCTTTAAACGACCAATTTATCAATTTACAACTTGCACCGGTTTCATTAACTCAAGCCTACCACGAACATGTATGACAACATAAAATGATCATATATGGTTCCAAACATCATTATATGACCCCGAGATGTATCCCCTAAAATCTCAATGCTTTTCGACACTGGGCCCGAAACATTCGAAATTTCTCAAAAAGCGTGGATATTAGCCTTCAATTGTTGAATTTTTTGACTTTTTCGTCCGAATATAAAAATTGCCGAAATGTTTACCATAATACCCTCCGAAAGTCCAATTCGGTGGATGAAACCATCCAATTTGCTTTTAAGCAACCAATTTACATGTTTACAACTTGCACCGATTTCATTAATTCAAGCCTACCACGAACATTTATAACAACAAATAATGATCATATATGGTTCCAAACGAAATTATATGACCACGATATGTATTCCCTAGAATCTCAAAACTTTTAGACACCTAGCCCCGAAGACTCTTAAATTTCTCAAAAATCATGGACTTCATTAACTCAAACCTAATACGAACAATTATGACAATAAATAATGATCATTTATGGTTCCAAACGGCATTATATGACCCTGAGATGTATCCCCTAAAATATCAAGACTTTTCTACGCCGGGTCCTGTAACCTCCAAAATTTTTCAAAAACCGTGGATGTTAGCTTTTAATTTTGGAATTTTTTTTTACTTTTTTTTCGCCCGAAAATAAAAAGTGTCGAATTGTTTACCATGATCTCTAATGCCCTCCGAGAGTCTAATTGGGTGGGTGGAACCATCCAATTTGCCTTTAAACGACTAATTTACCAGTTTACAACATGCATTGATTTCATTAACTTAAGACTACCACGAATATTTATGACAACATATAATGATCATATATGATTCCAAACAACATTATATGATCCCGAGACGTATCTCCTAGAATTTCAAGACTTTTCGACACTGGACCCTGAAACCTTCAAAATTTCGCAAAATGCGTGGATATTAGACTTCAATTTTGGATTTTTTTTTTTTTTTTACTTTTTTCGCCTGAAAATAAAAATTGTCGTGATGTTTACGATGGTCCCTAACACCCTCCAGAAGTCCACCTGACTGAGTGCAACCATCCAATTTAACAGCCGATTTACCAGTTTACAACTTGCACTTGTTTCATTGTCTCCTGTCTAGTGTCTACCACTAACATTATGACAACAAATAATGATCATATATGGTTCCAAACGATATTATATGTCCCCAAAATGTATTCCCCAAAATTTCAAGACTTTTCGAAATTGAGCCTCGAATTCTCTAAGATTTTCTCAAAAAACGTGGATGTTATTAGCCTTCAATTTTAAATTTTTTTTGACTTTTTTTGGCCCGGAAATAAAAATTGCCGAAATGTTTTCTACGATTCCTATTCTTCTAAGGTCTTAATTTCTCTTGCTCTTCTTAACTTACATGTACTAATAATATATGGTTTGTTTAATTCATGTCTTTGTTTAATTCATATCTTTCAGGACAACCCTTTCCAAGGTAGGCAAAAATGTATTCTATAATATCGTTGATTATAGGTAGAATTCAGATATACGAAAACAAATAAAAATATTACTAGTAAAATGACCATTCAATATAGAAACCTGCTGCACCAATTCCTTGTTTTTCTGGTAGCATACAGCAACTACAAAAGTGAAGGGAATTCTTGGAAGAAAGCCCTAAATTTCTACTTCTATCCAACCAATTACCGATTTACATCAAAATGGTTTCAGGACCAAGAATTATCAAAGCAAATCAAATGCCAAAACGGTCCTAAGAACCTACCCAGCCGGATAGAATGCTGCCGAAAATCCCTACTAAGTCTACTATGAACATGTTTCAAGAGATCAAAGATATAGGTAGGTGATTCAGCTCAAAGAGATCACTCCACTTCCATAACTTCAACTTCCGCCTTTGGTTGGGTTGCTTCTGTCGTAGGCTTTATCTCAGCCTCAGAATCAGTTTCCATCTTGAAGTCTTGATCCGTAACTAATTCTGACTTCACTGGCTTTTTCTCCCCTTTAGGTTCTTCAGCTCTTCTTTCAGTTTCCATCTTTACCTGGGAATCTTCTACAGTTTCATAATCTTCTACAATTTCATCATCTTCTCCGTTTTCTTGCTTGGTGCCCGTTATAGTCAGAGGCACAGCTTCTTGAGCCTCGGTTTTAGTGTGGTTTTCTGCAGGAGGCTGTGTTCTAGGCCTGGTTTCAGGCTGAGGGTTGGTCTCCAACTCTTCTTCAATCTTAGGAGCCAGGTAGTACCTGACATGGCCCATTTCAGCGATCTTGTATTCCACCACCACTGGCATATCTGAGGATAAGCTAATGGTCACTTGGCTGGACAGCGAGGTTGCTTTAGTGAAGGTAGTGATATACTTGAGAGCAAATGTCAAACAAACTGGTTCCTTCATCTCAATGATGGTGGCTTCCTCTGGCTGCCAAAACAACAACCAAATAATGAGATCGCATAAGCGATAAACTTTCCTCACTGACCAAGATAATTCCTAATTCACGATAATTTTTGCAAATGAAGACCAACCTTCTCTGTTGAGGAATTCTGTCTGCAGGTAATGTTCCCAGATCCAATGTCACCTTTGGTAGAGAAAGTAACACCTTGCTTTGACACAGTGATAGTAACTACAACCACAAGTGGGTAGAAGTTAGCAAACCTTTCTCTGTTGAGAAGGGCAGTAGGAGAAAGCAACACTAGTTATATACAAATGCAATTAGTCCATCTTACCAGTATCACCAATCGAGGAAAGACTTGAACAAATACTAGAAAACTCTGATGATGGCATTCGAACAATTGCATCATATTCAGCATCTGGGATCCCCAGGTGATCGCTGTCAATGTCCATCAGCTTCATTTCGATATCTGATATCTTATCTTGTGCTGCACATCAAAGTGTATGATCACCAAAGTCAATACTTTTTGGATAGCAGTATGAGCAAGGGAAACACTTATTATTTAGGATACTTTGTTAAATTGTTAGCGATAAGACACTTACAGTCTGACACTGCATATAAGTTACATTCATCACATTGCTAGCATATGATCATTGCAATTCATAGTGCAATTTGTTACAAGACAATAAGAAAGAAAATCAAAACACATTCTACTAAAAACACATGCTGAACAACTGATAAAGAGATCCAACATTGCTGTGAATCAAACCAAAGCAATAAAATTCAGACAAAGATTACAAACTCCAGGAACTAATTCAAACATATTGACTTTGGAAATTACGACATTCAATGAATTGACCGAACAAGTGTCAGCCCTAAAAACCGATAACTTAAGACAATCAACTTGTGTACCAATGGTTTGGAATAACAAGATAAGATTAACCCCAAAAGCCATAATCATTCAAGAAGTACTCCTTTCACTTGAAATCCAAGATTCTTCCCACATTTATAAGATGAAATCTTATAAAAACCAGCAATATTATCACACTCTATCACCTATGCATTATCGTTTAATCTGTAAAAGGGTAAACAGACTATCCAGAAATGAATGCAAGAGGCAACAAAACCCTAATACAGTACAATCTGCCATTATTAACTAAAAAATTACCATAGCAAATTAAGTCATTTTCTTGATATCAATCGTCAAAATGTAATCCAAGAACAACCCTTAATCAATTTATCATTTCCCAAAACCCTAATCCAATTTAAACCCAATTGAGCCAGAAAAACAAATTAAGACCCAAAATCGAAACAAAAAGAAGCTGAATTAATAAAAAGTAGTAACACTTACAAGGGCTCTCGAACATGAAGGTGACGGTATCAGTGCCATCATCAGCCTTAATGGTAATGATATCATCATTGGAAGCACACCTGAGCATCTTAGCCATATTAGCAATGCTCATACCCATGGAAAAGGTTCGGTCACACCGGAAATGCTCGAACCCTTCGGACCGAAGGAGGAGGGCAACAAGAGCGACATGGCTAGAATCCATGGCTTGGAGAGAGAATCCGGTGGAAGAGCAGTCGAAATTGGCGTCATTGACAAGATCTTTAATGGCGTCAATTACCCTCTTCAGCAAACTGCCCTGTACTAGCCTTAATTCAAACATTTTTCTAGGGTTTTTGTTGAGGAATTGGGGATTTTCTTGAAATCTTGAAGGTTGAAGAGAGAGAAAGAGAGGAGAGTGTGGGAGCAGGGGAAAATGGGGAACCCTGGAAAAGTAGCGTGCTATATATTTACGTGGGTAGTGGAGTGGATTTGGCGGGAAATGGTTCCCGCCAAAATATTGATAACAGTATCAACGGCGTCTTATTAGGTAAGTTTTGGTTTTTCTCTTCTTTGGGTTTCTCACGGTAATTATGGTGTTCGTTTGAATTCCAAAACTAAAATTCGGCAATAATGTTTTATTTATTTATTTATTTTTTAATTTTTTTTTAATGTATATTTACAAGTTTTGGTAGTGGCATTATTCTCCTGTCAAAAAAAAGTAGTGACATAATTCACATTTGAGATTTGAGGAAGTCCTACTTAGCAATTTGTATGGCATCTTAGTAAAAAAATTAATAATTATGCGCTTAGATTATATAAAAAAAGTTGATTTATATACAAATTGCTATTTGTTAACATTTTTTCATTTTCCATCAATGTTCTGGAACCCTATTTATGATGTTTGATTGGAAGTTTTGTATACCATCCCTTAAAAGTGTAAAACTAAACCATTAACCAACATACATATGGAGTACTTGTTGATTTGCAACTTCTTGTACAACCTTTCTACCAATTTATTATTTTAACATTTACGACGGTGAGTGGTGATTAAACAACTCTTATGTCATCTTTAATTTGAAAATTATTTTTTCTTATGATTGTGTACTCCGTACAATTACATAGTGACATACTAATTGATATAATACGGATTAACATTTTATATAGAAAATGCAAGTTGACCACATAGTTAAAAAAATTTGTGACAATTTTGTAATTAAATCAACATTTTTCATTACACCTTGGTAAATTTATTTATTTTTGATTTCATTACAAAACGTTATAATGACTAGATAAAATTGTTGATTTATCATTTGATCTATGGTAATATGGTATAGATGGGGCTTCATAAATTGGGTCTTCCTCCCTCATATACGTGCCTTAACGGCTTCAAGCCTTAATTCTATAATTGTACAAAAAGATTTTTCTTCTTTAGGAGAAAGAGTCAAGGGGCTAAGGCAGCTGACATAATGTCTTTCTTCATCTTCTTCCCTTTTCTCGTGCTTCAGATTTTCAGGTATGTTTCTACAATTTCAACCCACGCTTCACCCACGATTTACCCACTTTCCATGTTTTCATATTAATGTTAACCTTGAGTTGATAGTTGTCAAATTGTCCCGTCGTCATTACCATAAATTAATTTAAAATAATTAGAATATTTGAAATAATTTGACCATGTCTATTGAGTTATCAAATACGGAGTATTACATCACCTTCATAGTTTTTTATAATCTGAGTAAAACCCATTTGGTTTTGAACAATTCTGGATATGGGTTTTGAGTTTTGACTTTGACAAAGTCAGTTCTTTTCTTTTATGAGGTTCCTTTCTGTAATTTCTTTAGGGTGGTTGGCATTGGATAATAATTAATAAGTACATTACTAATTACTAATAAATAAAGAAAGAATCATCATTAGCTTTTGCCTTCTTTTTTACTGATTATTTCGAGCGCCTTTTTAAATTACTAATTGGCAAGAGAAATTTGTTGTGTATGTTGATTGTTGAGAGGAGAAAGTGGAGACAAATAGGCAACCTGGAGTTATGAATTCAGGCATTTTGGTGTATTTGCTGCTTTTATGCTCATGTTATTGTGTTGTAATAGCAAAAACAGATTCTGGTGACTGTAAGTTTTGATTGCAAACCTGTGATTATGCACCTTTTGCTTGCTCTTAACATGTCATTGAGAACTAATGAGTGGTGTCTCTCCATTATGATAAGTTGCAATTGTTGTGATTTTGTTCCTGGATTTTCGGCTTTTTTGATAATTTTCATGCTTGAAGAGTTAGGGGTTCGAGTTGCTCATTATTAAGGTTGCTAAGTGGGTTAGTTGGAACTTGGAAGGATGGTGTACTTCAAAGCATGCTTCACCTTGTGTAGTTTCATGCTGGTTAATGCATCTATAGTTGTCTGGATTGCCTTTGCTTTCAGGAGCTGTGTTTTAATATGATCATGTTTGCTGGAACTATTTACTCCCACAGCCTAATATGGATGGTCTTGGTTGGGTTACGAGGCCTTTCAACTTTCTTTCTTGGTCAGTGCTACTAATATGCTGAATATGAACCGAATTGTGTAGTAGCTTTGGATCCTCTTATTGAAACTGTCATATAGCAGAAATCCTAGACAATTTATTGCTAGATTATTTGGAAAAGTTTGCAGAATTGAGTAGAAAATGTTTGCAGTTCTTAAGATTACAAATTCTAGCTAATAGAATACGAAGCAATAAATCTACGACAGAGTTCCTAAAGATCAGCTCAACTCTACACTTTACTATGCTTAAGAGGCTCTTACTTTACCCTTACCAATCACCAGCTAGATACACATCCATTCCCTTAAATGGCTTTCCTATGTTTGTTGTTTCTTTAATTAGAACCTGAAGTTACTCTGTGACACTTGTATTTCATACTGGACCGTCTCAGCTTACATTGAATTGGTATATGAAGAGATTCTTTTGATTGTTGCATTGCATGAGATATCTTCTGAGCAATTTTTTTCAAAGTTTCTTTTACATGGTTTATGCTATCATCTTTCTTATTGTATCTATATAGATACTTATTCGATATCTTATGCAGTGGATGCTTTAAGATCTGTCAAGAACCAGTGGCAAAACACACCACCCAATTGGGGCAAAGGGGATCCATGTGGTCGGAAATGGGAGGGCATTTACTGTAATGATTCACGTGTGATTAGCATGTGAGTATTGCTCTTGACTTATAAACTGTGAATCAGTTGTTACAAGTATGTTACTTGATAAATATGGCCCATTTCCCTACTAAGTACTAACCCAATTTGTTTGACATTGCAGTAAACTATCAGGCATAAATTTAGCAGGTCCTTTTCCTGAAGATATCTTGTCATTATCTGAACTACGGACTTTGTAAGTTGTATGAATCTTATGTTGCTAAAATAACTAGACTTATTATTTTGTCTTGCAGCTAAATTTTGAGTAATGGTTGACATAATATAAGTAGTGATTTTCTTTGAAAGATTACTTAAGGCAGTTTCGTAACAAATGGTGAGATGTTGGTAATTTTGATTGGAAAAATGGGTTTTAGGTATTCTCTGTTAGCTATTTTAGAACAAGTTAAAGGATAATTATCAAAGATCATTGTTGTATATGCAACTGAAGACCAGTAGCTTGTGGGTTATACTGATTTTATTTATGTGTTCTCACTGTCTATCTAGATGAGGCAATATTATTTAGAAATTGGCCTTGGGAATGCATGCATGGCTATTTTCTCACTTTTGCCTCTCAGTCCCCATGTGCGGTGTGCATCAGAGTTTTAAATTCCCTTCCACATATTTGGCTATGAACTCTATCATGTTACATTAGCATCCCTTTCTTTCTTGTCTTATTCTTCATCACCCTTCAAGAGTTTCAACTTCCTGAAACTGATCTCTTTACTAAATGATAAATCGTTCTTATATAGGGATCTATCAAACAACAGAGGTCTGACAGGCCCTCTTCCGTCAAATATTGGGAATCTGCAAAATTTAGTACACCTGTAAGGATACTTTTTTTCTTCATACTTGTAAATTATAATGTCTGAATTTTTTTATTTTTTTTTTCCAGAAATTAGAAAAAACTATGATTTATCTCATTGCCTTCTTTTATTGCAGTGTACTTGTGGGCTGTAATTTTTCTGGCCCGATTCCAGAGTCTATAGTAACTCTACAGAAACTGACTCATTTGTAAGTGTCTCCATATTCCCCCCCTCCTCCTCCTTTCTGATTTTGTTATTTCCAATCTTCCTATACATCCCATTGTAAAGATGATTGACTAGCTTACTATGATCAACCCTACTTTATCTCCTATCTAACCCTTGTTATGTGAAACCTTCACAGATTTCTGAATATGAATCACTTCAGTGGAAACATACCACGTTCCATTGGTAACCTCACAAATCTTGTCTGGCTTGATCTTAGTGAAAACCAGCTTGGTGGAACGTTACCAGTTTCCAACATGACTACAAGTGGCCTCGATAAGCTGCTTAAGGCCAAGCACTTGTATGCTTTCTTTGCAGCAGAGTCTACTTCTTACCAATTTTCTCTCTTTCCGTATAGCAATAACTATATGTTCTCTGTGCAGTCATCTTGGACGAAATAAGTTATCAGGTGAAATTCCAAGTGAACTTTTCAGCTCAGGAATGTCCCTGATACATGTGTAAGTTCTGAAATTGATATCTGAATTTTACTATATCACTAAATGCAATATGTGCATTCAGGGACCTCTTCCACAAGTAGATTTTTCTTGTATAATAACTTGTTTAGAAGCACTTTGTTGTATACTGCAAAGGATTTATATAACAATATTGAGAGCAAAAGTAATACTGAAAAACTGAAGAGAGCACTATGGGGCACTCCAAAATGGAATGTGAAAGTTGGTATGACACAGCTAAAGCAAAGAGTACTGTGGGGAATGGCATGTGGAGGAAGCTGAGGATTAGTTAGAGACTTAGAGGTGAGAGAGGGAAAGGAAGTCAGACTTATATTTCTAAAGAGGAAAGTAGATCAAAATGAATCATGGAGCAAATTAGTATGTATTTTGGGTGTGTATCACGCCTTTTCAATGCTTGAAGATTACATCAGATTTTTGTGATCAATCTTATTATTGCCCTTTTCTGCTCTCAGTTCTTTTATCTCAAATTCCAATCTGTTACACAAGTGATTCAAGTCCCTGATTTCAGTCTATGCAGACAAGGCTAATCTTGTAAAGAATGTGGAATAGTATTTCCAAATAGCAATTCCACATGATTTACCTATTAGTAATGAGTTAATGAATAGATGTCCTTATGAAATTACAATAGTACAGAGAAGCTGGCATTTATTCCTTATTGATCTGGTAGCCT